GGGGTCCCCGCTCCATCTCACAATCAGTTTGGGGGTCCTTGGCCTCGAAAACGTTGAAGACCCCTGGTCTAGAGCGAAAAAAGACACAGCTGATCTCAAAGAATCATTAATTTGTCTCTTCAAATACTGCTAAAGGCGTGCATGCTCATGCTATAAATTCTGGGTAACTGAATTAGTGCAGTTCAGCTATGTTAACAAGGGATGCAGCTGAATCATATTAAAAAGGCTCAACAGAGCAAAACGGGCTCAGAGGGAATCCTGGAACCACGTCAATAAATGAGTGAAAGAACAAGAGAGCAGCATCAAATTATGGTTTTCAACTCTCATGCAGTAAACTGTGCATGGTAATAAAGCTAAAAAGCCCTTTACCATAGATTTACAACTTTTATCCCAGTTTCTATAAGAAACATAACTTTTAGTACAGGCAGATCCTTTATAGTTTTACCTACGATAAAAGTCATTCTTACGAGAAAAGAAGGGAAATATCCTAAATTTTCCCTCAGTAGGGAAATTCAGGTGCCCCAGTAGCAAAGCGAAACATATTGAAACATGTACACACAGGCAATTTTCAATAACATAACAAAAAGAAAAGCTAACTTTGCAAATAAAGACAAACAAACTGTTATTAGTAAAAGATGGTATATTTAAGATATTAAGCATGCAAACTGATTTTCAGAAGTGTTAAAAGTGCATTAAGTTTATATAAGCAAATAAAACACTGACAGATAATTTAAAAGAATGAGCCAGACTGTGCAAATACTATCCAGATCCACCGCCTGGCCAGAAAAAAAGATGCCACTTAAACAAAAAGGTCAGACTAAGATTTTGCTGAACCACCTTTATCTTGATTGCAGCACTCATTCGCTCTGGCATTGATTAGATTCTTCTGCATTGTCACAAGATTTATTTCCACCCACTGTTTTATTAATTTTTCACCAAGATCTTACAGTGATGAAGGTAGAGTCTGACTGCTGCGCAAAGTCTTCTTCAGCACATCCCAAAATATCTTAATGGGGTTAAGGTCTGTGCCAATCCATGCGTGAAAAATGATCTCTCATGCTGCAACAACCACTCCTTCACAATTCTGGTCCAATTATTCCTATCATTGCCATCTTGAAAGATATGCAGATGCCATAAAGGAAGAAAAGAAACTGGTCATTCAGTACTGTATATTCAGGTAGTCAACTAATCTCATTTGCTGAGTATTTACTCCTGCTGAACTTAGACCTGACCAACCGCACCAACCCCAGATCATAGCACTGCCCCAATAGGCTTGTACAGTAGTCACAATTGCTGCAACAGTACTTCACCTGCCTCCCTTCCTGCCATGAGTCCCCATCACTCTAGAAGAGGGTAAATCTGGACTCAGACTGTATGACCTACTTCCAGTGTTCCAGAGTCCAATTTTATGCTCCACAGCAAATTATACCAAAGCCCTTTTCTAGTTCGCCTCACTGACAAGTGGTTTTCCTTTCCTTTTTTTATACTGCGTTGGACAGTCCTTTACCCAATTTTGGTAGATTCTAGAATCTTCTCAGATATTTTCTCTGCTTGATGCATGCCAATTATTTGGCCCTTCTGAAACAGACCAACATCTTTTCCACGACTACCGAATGTGTCTTTTGATTTGTTTTTTGTTTTTTTATATAATTGAGAAGCAAACCATTGCACCAGTTGGGGTGAAATAACTTTCTGCCAGCTGAAACATAATAGCCTATGCCATTATCATCCAATGGGAGACTTGTACATATTTGCTTTGTTAAATCCAGGTGGTGACTTTATTTGGCCCGTTAGTGTGTAAACCCTTGTTGATTTTTTCCCCCCGTAGTAGTGATGTTCTAAAGTAACCCTTGTTCAGAGGAGGGATCTGCAATATAATTGTTTTTATCTAATCCCCACCTTTTAGCCAACTGGGGAGATGACATAGAATTGAAACCAACAATGTCTCCATTTCTGCAAAATTGGCAAACTAAAGTAAATCACTGCCATTTAAAATGGAAGGTGTACTGAAACACATGGCAGCAAAGTCATGTCCCATTGTCCACATTTTACTGCTTCATCAATGGCATAGTGAAACGTCTTGTTCAAAGCCAAAGAAAATGAAACTTTGATAAACATAATACACTAAAACCTACAGCCTAAATGACTTAACACGGGGTCAAAACTGGAAGACGACACGAGATAATCTGTCTGCCAGTGCCCAGTTTATAAGGTGCTGTTCATTCAGTGCCTTTAGCAGAGGATTCAACACACTTCTACATTTAGTGAATGAGTCACTGGGACCAAAGGTCGCAAAGACTCCCAATTGCTTTATGATTGTGTGCCAAGAGGCATTTTCAGACTGCTCAACCAGAGTGAGGTAATAAACTGACAAACCAACCCCCAGGTCCAGGTTTTCTAGTCCACAGCAAACGTTTACAAATGTGATCATCTCAGCATGTGTCTTAATCACTGGGCAAAACTAATCCAAAATGAAACGCATAATTGAAATAGAAAAACTGGCTAAAATAGATTCACAAGACCAAGTTTAACAATGCATATTTAGGTATGTGAAACATGTTTTTAAAAGTTCAATCAAAAATTCTGAGTTGAAGTCTATTAAAAACATAACTTACAATAAGCAATCTCAATTTTCCATGCTTAGAATGAAGATTTAACACTCTCTACTCAACTAATTATAGTTCAAGTGGTTAAAAAGGGGGCTAAATTAATCAAAGTAGGTTTGCCTTCTGCCACGTTTGTGCCCCTTTAAACATTTAGCATTTATAAACTAGGGAATCTTAATAAGAATGAATGCACGCAATTTCTGGTTAAATATATACAGTACTGGTATCTATGCAACATATATTTGGTGTATGTGAGTTGTTTAACAGCAAGGTTTCTTTTTTCAAACATCCCAAAGAAAAGATGGCAGATTGATCCAGCTTATGATCAAACTGCATAAACCACAGTGCCAGGTGATGTGTTATTTATCTAAAAGGGTTTACCTTCTAATCTTCACACATTGAAAGGCACAGCAAATACCCACTTACGTGATGGGAGTCGAAGATTTAACCAAGGAGGCAGGGCTGAGCCGTTTGCAAGCCATCCTGAGTAATACCCAGGTGAGATTGGTAGATGGTAGACGTAAAAGACATGGTGAAAAGGGCTGTACAGAAAGCTTCACAAACCTCACAGACTTTAGAGGCTTTAAGACAAATGTGCAACTGAACTCTGACAATCTGCAAATATCCCTAAAACAAGGGGAAAAAAACCTGTTTCACTTTTTGCACTATGGATTCACACTGATTCATAGCAGTGTAGATCAGTGCTACAGATTGAAAAATGCAACAAACTACAACTCAAAAGTCTCAGTAATTGGACAGTAATTGCAAGCCTCTTGTTAAAGGATTAAAATGGTGCCAAAAAACTCTTAATGCTGACTCCCATGTAAAGGTTGTGATTTATAAAAAATGTGGCGTGAAAATGTGTGGTCCACTGCCCAAACTCTGACACATCCATACTGGTATGAATAAAATGAAGACGGGGAAATGGTGATACAGATGGTGACTGGGGTCGGGACTTCAAGCCAAAGTGCATTTCTACCTTTCTTAGACATTTAAAGTTTAACATAATCAACGGTTCTGTAATAATTCTGTACATTTATCCACAAAACTGAGGTGTTACAGTCAGAGATAGGGTTAATGTTGCCTTAATGTCCTTGTTAATCTGATCAGTCCTATTCAGTGTTGTATAGTAACAAAGTAAAAAAATACTTCACTTTTATACTTGAGTATATTTTGGAGTACTTTATACTTTCCAATAGAAAAGTTTTTTTGAGAACTTTCACTTTTACTAAAAAACGAGCGATCGAAACGCAAGTGTTTTGACCCCACCTACTGACTACAAAGTCGGGTCTTGCCTGGGCTTGTTCATCAACACCAATAGGATACGCCTGTTTCGCAAAGCCAGTCTAAATTTATCCTACACTTGGTTGTTTATATTATTTTAAGTGAATTTAACCTTCAAAGTT